ACACACACACACACACACACACACACACACACACACACACACTGCAGTTTGTCATTCATAGACCTAGACAGTTTGTAAAGTTTTCAATTGTTAATTTGTTTCCTCTGTTTTTTGACTGACTTTTTGACTCTTTCTCCTTCAGTGCTATATTCAGTCACTACCGTGTGACTCCTAAACATGAAGGGGGCTTTTCTATTGATGTGGACAATCCTGTAAGTGTTTCTACCGCCCCTCTGCTCTCTGCAGTGTTAGTGTTGCAGTTGATATTGACAGTTGCCCTTGAGTAAAATGGAAAATAAAGTAGCCTGACGTTGCCTTTTTGTAATGTTATATCTGCTTATCTAAATGAGCTTTAGCAATGCCAAACATTTTACAGGGAAGTAAAGTAACAAATGAACCAGTTGTATTTTTCTACAGGGCTTTATCATAGATCTTAAGTAACGCTGCATATTTGACCTGCTGGCAAAGAAGTGGATTATTATTGGCAAACACAGTGGAGCAATGAAAATACAATGTGACAATACTTCACAGAGAACAGTGTGAATGCAGCAGATGTGATGCTGCTGCCACTGTCACTTTTATGACTCTCTGCTGATATAAAGTTATGCGTGTTTATGTGTGTGTGCACGTGCAGTGGAAGGGTGTTTCCAAACAAGTTTTCCTTCTTACCACTAATTACTAATGAAACATTTTCAATCATTGATGAAGTTGGCAAGAACGTGAACACACGTTGTGGTTAATGACGCTTTATCTGTGTAGTGATACCAGGATCTGAGCCGTTTTGTTGCATGTGCTGAATGTAATTGAGAAAAAGCTGCTCCCTGTGCAGGTTCCCTGCGGCACACTGCGAGATGTGATCAACTACTTGGTGGAAACAACTGATCGAGCTCTGTCTCCGCTCATCATCGAGGAACAGTATGAGAAAAACATCTGTATGTACAACTACAAACTCACTCAGGTTCACTTGACTGTGCAATACTCATTCCTACTGTGCAATTCAATGACTAATGTGCAATCTGGTTATACTGTATACATCCTGCTGTATATATACTGTATATATTATTTCTATTCCATCTATATTTGTATATTTCCTTGTGTTCATATTGCACTTAATTATAAAATGTTTGACTGTCCTCTTTGCTTCTGCAACACAGCACATTTCCTCAATGTCATTGAGTAATAAAGGATTATCTTATCTTATCTTATCTTATCTCCATTCACCAAAGACTTAAGTTGTGGCTTTTCTTTTTTTTTGTTTTTACAGTTTTTATTCGGTCTGACAATGAAAATGGAGAAAAAAGTGTTCAGCAGGCTTTGTCAAAGCTAAAGGTGCCAACTTTGCCACCAAAACCAGGTACTGTGTCAACTTAAAAAGAATAATACGCATAGTACCTACAAATAATAAAAAATAATACATTGTCAAAAAAACACAAGCACCAACACACACTCAGCCACTCAACTGTTTGTCAGACCTGTTTTCTGTGGTTCAGGTTAACAGACGAGGAAATTCCTTCCCTACAAAAGGGTTCACCTTGGACTCTTAACAATAGTGTTGTATAATCTTCTATTTTACATTATAAACCCTCTCTGTTTGATTAATTCACTTTGTGGTTGTACTTAAAATAAATATTCCAGTTATCAACGTAGAGGTACGATTGCCACACAATCACTCATGTTTTCTTGTTAATCAAGCAGGAACAAATACCTCTCCAGAGTTTTTGTTCCGCTCTGGACTTGATTCAAGCAGACAAACAAATGAGAAGTCTGTGTGAGACTTTCTCCACAGGTGGCATTTGTGTAGTGGTTGTGGTTGAACCAACATGGTGGATCAACCGACAAACAGAAATATCCATCCCCAGAGCCACAGCATGTGCACTATAAATCTTGTTATCCTGTATTTTACTTTATATGCTTTTCTCTAAATGCTCATTTTCAAAAACCACATACAACCAGTTGACTTCAGAGCAGCCTGATAGTTTAGGGTTAGGTGATTTCACTGTGACAGCACTTGTTGTTTACCATATTAGATTTGATATCCACCCTATCATAATCAATTATTAATAATAACATGTTTTGTTTTGCAGTTTATTTAAAAGTACAGACTCCTGAACAAGCACCAGCGCCAGTTGAGTGTGAGTTTAACTCTGCCAGTCAGTCTCTTTTATTCATTTTTCTGTCTTGCAAACTAGTATGACTCCATTTTTTTCATGGCTGCCGCTTATGTATGTCTCTGTTCAAACAGTGAAGGTGAGAGAGCAGCCAGCTGTCCCTCTGCCAGGTATGTCCCTTTTTCTTATTGCTCTATCTCACAATCCATTTATCTGCCGCGTGACTGAAGTCCCACTTGATTTTGAATCCTGTTGTTTTGTTTTTGTTTCCCATAGAGCTAACGAAACTTTCCAACCCCAAACCACCAGTTCCTGCTCCTCGCAAATTGACCCTGAATACTTCAGCCTCCTCAACAAGAGATCTGAGCGGGAGAAGCCACACAGACCCTCTAGGACAGAGTGAGTCCACATGAAGACATTTACCAACTTTACACAGATGCATCTGTAGGTTCAATTCATAATATTTAAACTGCACACCAGCAGCAGGACAAGCAGAGTGTTATTTTTGCCCATGTCTGTGTGTGTAGAAAATGACTCAACAATGCATGAAAGGATTTTCACCAAACTTACTGGGGATATTACTTGGGGGGGTAACTGCAGATGATTAACTTTTACAGCTAATAGGTCAAAGGTCAGACCGATTAACCATAATCAGAAAAAATTATTTTCCAAGCTATCTCTGTTAAAATAATAAAAAATAAAGTTTTACGTTCTAAAGCTCATGTTGATAATAAAATGATTCTCCAACACATCACGTTGTGCAAGTGACATCATGAAGAAATCACAATGAAGTCAGAAAATGATGTCATGCAATGTATTTGTATTGTAGGTATTTCTGCATCATATAGACACGTCCTAAAGCTTGTATAGATTGAAATATTATCGTGACATTACAGGAATGACATCATCGTGACCTCACTATGAAGCCAGAAAATTATACATACAAGTATTAATACCTTAACTTTTGCAACAAGTAAGATTAGAAACATCTTTTTTAGATGAAAATTTGGTTGATTTGATTGACTATTAAAGCGCGTCATCTGAAATGCTCGGTTTTCTCTCGTAGCGATATCAGAGCTGAAACTCAAGTTTGAGCAGAAGGCAAAGTGTGAGAAGTTTCCTGGTGGGAGTCTCTGAACGCCTTCACTCACACGAAAAAGGAGCCACCTCCCAGTCTGTCCCTGCACGACGAACTGATACGGGGGAACAGAGACACGGTGTTTCCACATGAATGACTTCGTCCTCTTGTGCATCGAGGTTCTGCTCCTCCTCTTCCTACTTCTCGCTAGCTGCCTGTCAGCAGAGAGGCCTCTCTGAAGATTTACACTTTATTGATTCACCCTTTTCCAACAAGCATTAGCAAATGAATGGACTGTAAAGAGGCATGTACCTGTCACATTATCTTCACGTTATTTTCCTTATCAGTGTTGTTTTTTAGTTACTTCTTTAAAAGTGCCATTATCATGTGCAATTTCATATTTTTTTCAAACAACTACGAACAGGATGTTCTGTCTGGTTGGCATGTGATGTTTATATGTAAATACATGCATAGTGTTTCTCTCGAAATGACTGTCTCTTTGTATAAGCCACGAGTGAAGGAAGAGATGAGCTGCTCATTACAGTTCATTATGTAAGTGAATAGTTCATCAGTGAAATCAAACTCATTTTCAGAACAAGTGATTTTAAAATGTGCGAGGCAGAAGTTGGAAATAATCAGGCTGTTTCCAATCTCCTGTAGCTGCTCTACTTTTTTGTTGCACATCTTCTTAATGCTTTACTTTCCTCGTTTAAAAGATGAAGTCTATGAGCAAAGTGATCTCACTCCTTTATTACCTCAATAGCTGATACATTATAGTGGAAAATTCAAAGTATTTACAATAAACTGTGACATTTTGTCCACATGTGAAATAAAGGTAACATAAATCTCAGCTGGACGCTTCTTAAAACATTGCAGGCTACAGTTATTCAGGAGATGCATTCAGGGGAACAAAGAGCAATAGGGCAAAGTGACACTTTTACCATGTGTTGTATGACGTGGACGCTACTCAGAGTGCACAAATAAGGACTTCAAACATCAGTAAACAATTTCCAGAGGCCACCACTTTCATTTCTATCCCTGGTGGATCCTAAACCTTGCTAATCCTCACACCAGAGTAAGTTAGCTGTAGCTACTGGCAAGCTATTTGTTATTGTGTGACGACAGACACACCCACGACTCATAAGCTGGATCTCTCTGCAGATTAAGTGGTGTTATTAGGTACAGACACATACATACTATACATACACGTATTAGGGTGCAAGTCAAGTGAATATAATGTATACAGTACAGTCATTTCCAAATTCCTGAAGCCGTGTCTGACGGCTCTGACTCCAAGTTAAGACATTAGCATGAGGAAAACCCCCTCGAACTCTGTCAGATGAAGCTCAACACTGACCCATTTAAAACTAAGAGAAGCTGAGCAGAAGGCTGAAGGATCCAGTAACTTACACTGATTGTGGGTCCTGACTACAAAATGAAATGTAGTAAATACTGATAAGTCTTCATGCCATTGCAAGAATTCAACTACAACCCTATTATGTGTGTTGTTCATTTCTCAAGATCTATTAGTTGCTGGAAAAGTTGAATAAATCCTGATTGAGTGATGAACTACATTCTACTGAGCAGCTCTGTCTAACAGCAGCTTGTTATTTGGGTTACATAGAGGCAGATTCAATAGATGATATTTACCACTAAGCTACAAGGTTATACTGACACTGACACAATACGTTGTTTTAAACTGAAATAGGGAGACCAGGTCTTGCAGTGAAATATCAGCATGAATGTACGGATTAGATAACCCGATCTGGCCATTCAGTTTGGAAATGACAAAGAAGGCACAGGGAGAGAGCAGGCAGGACAGGGCGGGACCCTGCACCTGCAGCTGGCTGCATGACAGTACAACTGATAGTTTTGGTGATGGAAAGACAGACAGGAAGGAAGGAAGGAAGGAAGGAAGAAAGGAAGGGCAGCGGCCAGCGCTAAATCTTTGCTCTAGCAGCAGTGGGACAGTGCTAATTGAATGTGTAGAGAGTGACAAACTAGTATGACTACACCTAATGTGCCCCAAGCAACCACAACAACCAGAGTCCCAAATATGAAGGATTATGTCACTGACGGCGCCGATGACTCACTTGTTCCCAAAACCACATGTTGTCATGCACAGACATGAGAAACAGGCTCAACCATCGCACTCCAGTGATGTAACTCTTCCATGATATGGTTTTGACAGGCGTCATGATGAGATGATGTTCTGCAGCGGGTGACAGTGATCAGATCGAGCTGGTGTAGCATCGAGCTGTCCGAGCTGATGGGTCTAGGTGAGGCTGGCGTTGGAGCTGCTGGTGCCACTGTTCTTCCTCTGACCGCTTTGCACCATGCTGGGAACCTGTAGGCCTGTCACTACTGAGAAACTGCCGTTCCACACCTGCAGGGGGCAGCAAAGTGACAGAGAGGTCACAGGATGATACTTTGAGGACACAGATGCTTCTAAAGCAACATTTCTCACCATGAAAGCAGGTATAACTGGCTGCGGGAACTTGGTTTTGAAGGTGTGCATCAGCTGCTTAGTTTTGGCGTTGTAGAAAGACAGAGCACCTGGAGAGAAAAAAGAAAGCAAATCCCACTCATGTACTTCAATAAAAAGGTAGGACAGCAACGAACATTTTTTTTTAATTGTTGATCTACCCGTCAATTACTTTTACAAATAATTAATTTGTTTATTTTACTTTATTGAATGTTTATATAAAAGGGCTTGGAGTGATGTCTTAAAATTAAATGAAAGGAGTTTTTCAACTGGTTATGAAACATTCTCATTTTAATATTGCTGCCTCTTTATGACCTACAATAGCAAATAAGAAAATCAGGGAGAAAATTGGCTTTTTCTATAAACTATTCTCAATGTCCGTGTTCGGGTGGATTACCCACAAAGCCAACAATCATACAGCAACAAAAAGATACACTATCTCATTGCTTTGCATCCTGCAAACAGCTGTGTGTCTTGTTTCACTCCTTCAAAAACAAATGTAGAGGTTTTTACAGCAGGAGAGGTGGAAATATCACCACTTTTGTCCACTCAGGCACCAGCTAAAATGAAAAGGTCCTTGTAGGGCTTTAATTTGCCTGATCAAAATCTGACTTTTTTTTAAAGTTTTGTATTTTTTGCCTGGTCAACCTTACAAAATATGCTTTTAACCTTCATCTGTTATTTTAATAGATGAATAAAACATTTTGAAACTTCCTTTTTGCAGTTGTCAAAGCTGTTGCTGAACAATATTCTAGCTACAGTGATAAAAAAATATCTTACACAGAATAATAAAACATAGACAAATAAATCATCTGCCTTGCAGAATTTTTAAGCAGCTTTGAAATGTAGTGCTATAACTAAAAATCTGTAATCTGTATTTTCTTTGTTCAGCATCAGTGAGTATTTCTGCTATGGAGAAAAAAACACTGAAACACCACAGTTCAACAGACCAGCAACGATTCTGTCTCTAATCAAACACCAACTGTGTGAATGTGATTATCTCACCTTCATCGTAGTTGACGTAGACTCCTATACTGCTTGGGATCGGACAGTCCAGGGTTCGAGCCTTGTTGTTGTGCTTGGCTGTGAGACTCTGCTGCAGCCAGTTGTTCAGATGGATGCACCAGGAGGCGCTGCTTTTCCCCAACTGGTCAAATCGGCCGAGGGTCCGCAGGGCCACCCCGACAGCAAAGGCTTTGCTCTCCTTGTCAAACCGCACTTCCCAGTACTGTTGGCCAGCGTCGATCATGGTGTCAGCTGTAAAGACACGAAAGCCCAGATACCTCAGGTCAGGAAGTACAGTATCAAAATTAAGTAGATTGACAGTTACACAACAATTTACATTTCAGATGTTTTGCTCCACTCGGTGAAGTTGAACCTCGAGCACTGAAAAAAAAAAAATTATAATTCTTACCGAGCACTGTGTAGGACTCTGCTGTGAACCTGTCTCTGCCTGGACGGGCCGTCTGTGCTCTTTTAGGAGACATGAGAGCTGACCTGATTATAGACAAGTCAGAGGGTAGAGGCTCAAAGATATATATATTCCTGTGATTTATTCATAATGACATTATTGACACGGTTTCAGGACCTTGCAGTCATCATCCATACAAACCTGGCTGGAGAATGCATGGGGGAGTTGGTTCGGTTTTTCTCTTTGCGGATGTCCTGGATCTTTCCTCCGCTGCTGTCCCACTCCACACTCAAGTCCTCCACCTTTAGGTTCTGATGAGCCGAACCAGAGTCCAGCTTGAAGGTGAAGGCTGGAAACCAAGCAAGAGGCAAACTTTTGATTAACTTTTAAAAAGTCTTAAATGGTTGTGACCTGCTGTTTATGCCCTGTATTCTCACCATGAGTTTCTAGAGTGACTGGCTCAGAGAACTCTCCTGCCACGGCTTTGTTACACGCTCTCACTCTGAATGTCATGTACCTGGTGTCAAAGCGCAGACCTGAGAATAATGAAAAACAAGACTATAATTTATGAATCGGCTTCTTCAGAGTTCAAACAACAAATGCCAAAGGTCTCTTCACAGTTTGCTCGTACCCGTCAGTGTGTGCTCCAACTCTCGTATCCCCTCCACCACCATCCAGGGGTAGTCCTCTCTGATGCGTGGTGGACCCTCGTGGTTCGTCCGTCGATGTTCCAGTATGTAGTGGTCTATCTTACTGTCAGGCTCCTGTAAGGTCCATGCTACAGTCACTGTGTTGTCACACACCTGGCACTCTGACACCTGGATCTCTGGAGTGGCAGGAACTGAATGTGGAAGAGTAGAAACACCATTTCTGTTACGAGGGACAATGTACAAATGTAGGTTTAATTGTAACTCTTCCTTTCATTTGGTCTCTATGGTTCCCCATAGTGACATTGGTGGAAAAGATATTATTGTGTGCCACGTGTTAATAAGATCCATCCAAGAAGCATCTGCAGTTCAGTATACCTGGTATTGTCGGTGAATATTGCATTTAGTTTAGATTTGCATCTAGTGGCCACAGATAAACTATCACTCTATTAACTTATCAATTTAATAATATTTCTTCCGCTAATGTCCCCAGTGGGACTCTGTGGGGCTTTAACAGCTTCTGAAAAGAAAGAATCTGGCTCTTCAAGCTTTAACTTTCCTCATCGGCATAGAGCAGTTTTAGCTGAGCTTTTCAGCTGCTTGCAATGAGCTCGATACCTTCAGTAAATACATGAGCTGTAAAACCACACGAGCTCTCGAAAGAGGTTAACAAGTGTCATAGATCTGTCAACCAATCTCTGGCGTGTGGTTTCATTGCTCTGAGCGAAGCCTTTCACGTTACATGTAATTTGACTCATAAGTATATACAGTAAAATACCGATAATTACGTTTAAGTGGAAAATGTAAAAGTCAGTCTCACCAGCTGTCTGTGAGATGGTTTCTATTCTGACAGCTAATATAACATGAAAGTAAAACAAGTACCAGACTGACACACTGTGAATAATAGTACTGATTTAATACTGGAGATTTTACCTGCATTTATTGACTCCTCTTTAACTTTCAAATATCACAACCTACTCCATATACTACAGTAAAAGTAAAGTAGTTCCAGCTAAAAGTAAAGTATCGAGAGTAAAAATACTGTAAAATGACCAGATTTTCTTGTTCATGTATTATATAACTAGATTTAAAGTAAAAAATTCTCTGTATCTTGAATTATAAGTAGTGTATATATTTATAAGTCTAAGGTGCAAAGATTTATCATCATCAATTGACTATCATCAATCACATTATACCACTGTATAAAAATCAGCCTAGTATTTGCAGCAATCAATTAACTGTAATGGATCAAAAAATATTTCCTTTTGAAATGCTGTAGCTTAAAGTATAAAGTAGCATGAGATGGAAATACATGGTATTTCATAAATAAAGAACAAGTACAACACTGATGTAAATCTACTTAGACACCTTTTCAGACATGAACTCTTTTCCAGAAAGGAGATCGTCTGGGTCAGAGAACAGAAAAATATCAAGCAAGGGCGTCTGGGTAGAGCATGCAGGATAAGACATATTGTTTACATGGGCTTACTGGGACATTATCCGGAAATTTTACTCTGGCCTTGCAGGAAAAGTTCCAGAAAATGTCCAGAGCAACTGACTTGGACATTTGTGTTCTCACATGCAGCCCCTCCAGATTTCAGTGCATGTCTGAAAGCAGCTTTATTTACAACGTGCTGTCTACAAAAGTTCACTTTGTGATAAATGTGGAGCAGACCTGGCAGAAACTTGAGACCCTGCAACATCTCCCTCTCCTGGCTGAAATCCACCATCAGATGACTCATGATGTCACTGGCTTTAGCCTTCAGGGAGAGGCGAAAGGCCGGAGCCATTGTCACGCTGCAGACAAAGAGACGCACAGAAAGACACAAACACACGGGGTGGAGACGAGCATGGTGCATTATTCAACTACATCAGAGAAGGGAAAACAAATAGGTGATTCTAGTACAGCTCACTAAGAAAAGGCCACTAGCTACACTTCTGTTACTACCACTGGCCTCATCATCTTGGTCAACTCCTCCGCCCAGGTCACACTGGGTGCAAGTGCAGCGCGTGTCGGCTGTGTTGCTTATCTGCTGTTGTTCACACAAACAGCGTGTCTGCAGCTGCTACGTGACATTTCTGGTACAACTACTATTTGCTTAAATGAAAGTGGGTCAATGTACTCTACTAAATGTCAGGACTCCACAGTATGAAGAAAAAACAAAAGCCACAACAAAAAAAGTAAATGTCAATAGTGCTTTACAGTTTTTACTTTGTACAGGAAGTGATGCAAAAATGTATGTCTGAGAAATATTCAATACGTAGACATTGAAACTGTGGTGAAAGATCATTTTCATGAATTTCATTTTGCTGTGAACCGCGCGCATGACACGTGGAGAAAATTGGCGTGACCCCCGATTCTCTTGAAGAGCAGCACAGATTAGACATGTCTCATGTGGGCAGTGTGGCCACTCTTATCCGATAACATGGGTGCCAAAATGAAAAGCAAGACTCCGCACACACACCGCTCACTTATGCACTGTGGCCCGGGCGTCAGGAAGCAGAACTAGAGAGGGAGCATTTATCCAGGGAGGGACTGACAGCGGATGGTACAGACTTTAGAGGACAGTGGGAAACCGAGACAAAAGAAAGCTTGTCCATGGTGCTTATTGTCTACAGAATGGATGTGGTGGCTACACGTTTGAACGGTTGCATGCTAGATGATGAGATAGCTCATTGGTTACAGGAGGCTATGACAAAAGGGAAGCAAGGGATGGCTGAGTACTATACCTATCCTTAATGTCTTTGGCCGCCTGGAGAGGAGAAGCAGAGGGAAAATGAAAGAGAGAGAAGAGATACGGAGCAAAGACAAATCTGAGTTGTAGCCCATCATGTTTTCATTTTACACAAAAAATGTGCAGGTGTTAAGATAACATGACATCAGAAGAAGCATGAATTCAATCTTATATACGGACACTTGGGTTCATGGTCAATCATTAAAACATTCAGGGAGCAGGGGAACAGTGCAGCAGTACCACAGCAGCAGAGCATCGCTCAGTTACCTGAGTGAAACCGTCCGCTTCAGAGGAGCACAGTGTCTGATTGGCCAGCTCCAGCAGCTCCTCCGAACTCTCCAGGGCTTTGGAGCAGGCGCTCAGCTGACTCTAGGCAAAATATCACGTCACAGAGTCAAACATCTGCAAACTCACAGCCGTTTCTCTGCAGAATAATGGGACTATTATGCTCCCTGCACAGGCTTTGGTGTTAGCGGCATCATTTGAGAGTCATGGCTTTGTCCTGAGTCTGCAGAGATCAAGACTGTGAGAATATTTAAATATGACAATAACATATAAAACAGCTTATTTCACAGAAGATGACTTGAAACAGTTTTATAGTCATTCAGAATACTGACAAAAATCAGCCCTTTGGTGATTAAGTTCTAAAATCAACAATTCCAGAAATGACATGAACTCTCTTTAAACTATTTTACAAATTATTTTTTAAATTTATTTTCAGTATTATGTCCACTGCCTTAATTCGTATTTGCATCATTGAGAAAGATCTACTACACAGAGACATTACAAATCATGTATGGCGCCAAAACATTTCTCATAAAAAAAAGTCTAAAGAGTGATGGAAGTAGAGTTAAATAAAAACTGACATAATTAAAGCCTACCTAAAATACTCACAACCTAGTGCTTGTTATTTTTTTTTACAATATTTAAGATTTTTAAGGCCTTAGATTCAGATTATTGAGTTTAGAACGTCATAAGACCCTGCAGAAAACCCTGGTGTAAAATTATGTTATGTTTGATTCTGCAGTAAGGTTGGTGACATGTTCCTCCACAACAGCCTGATTTTAAGTTATTGCTTTAAAACCGCATTTTGGGTTTTCAGTCAGACACTAAAGCACATGATTCATTGGGTTCTCATGATATGTTCAGATATGTATGATAAGAGAAAAAGAAGGAAAAATAAAGCGCAGCTTGAGTAAATTCCAGATGTTTTTCAGGTTGTTCGAAATAACTGCATCTTACAAACATTCATAGTAATTGTAAAAACAGATACAGCAGTGAATACCTGTAGTTCGTAGGTGCGACTGGCTTTCTCCTGTTTGATGCGTGTCAGCATGGTTTCCTTCATCTGGTCCAGGACTGAGTGGAGGGCGGTGAACTCTGACTGCAGGTCGTCCTGCACCCGATTGGAGTTCGCCTGGTGTCAGAAGAAAATAAATTAAGTAAAAATGGGAAGTAGCCGTTTCACCTGAAAGCTGGATGAACACATGGACAGAGGACAGCTGCCAAACTGTGAATTAAATGGATCAAGGTTTTGTGTGACTTCGTACCTCCAAGTTGTCGAGGCTCTGTTTGAGCGTGCAAATGAAGTTTGAAATCTCCTCATTCTTCATGGCCAGCGTGTGGGTGATCTTACACAGAGATTCCTGAAGGAAAGATACAAAAATCCCATTTGTACATTTGATATTCTGTTGAATCAAATCCTTTCAGAGCTTTAAAGCAAAGCGTGCACAGTTAAACATCTCCATCGGTCGCCTCAGATCCTGCAGCACAGAGGATTGAATGGCTCCAGGTTTGTCTCCCACACTGAACCAGATGAGCTGAGGTGCAGCTGATCATAAAGGACACGAGCAGCTTTGGGCTCTGATCTCCTTTATGCACATGATCACATGTGTTCTTCAGATGGGATCAGAGGGGACTAGCTTCTGAGCACAGGGAGGACACTTCACGGGCGGAAGGATGTGCATCCATAATTCAATAATGCGGCTCCACTGGACTGAACAGCCCACTGCAAAAGGACTAGATGGATTATTAACCGAACTACACCTCTGATATATTACATCACTGATCACATCCACTCTCACGCTGCTGAGTCACAGTGAAACATCTCATTCATACGGGAGAACTGTGTAATGTTTATTGATGCGAGAGGACCCGCACCGAGGCCCCCGGTCCTGTCCGGTCCGCCGCCGCCGCTGCTGCACCGACACACCGATAACAAAGTCGTCGAGGGCGCGGACATGATAAACCTTCCCCCGCACAGAGTCGTAGCAATGTAAACGACACGGCGGTGAAACACGAGCTGCTCCCACGTCCACAAACTCCCCGGGTTTCTGCAGCGTCTCCCCCCCGCTTCCTTTGTAACACTACGCCCTGAAACAGGCTGCTTCTCCCCCCATCACAGACACCTGTTCCTCGGGCTCCGGCTCACCTTCTGGTCGCCCATCTCGCCACCCCGATGCTCCGGCGCCGCTGGAGCTGCAAACGCCACCGCTGCTCCTCCTCTGTGCGCCGGTTCCCTCGGTTTATTCGCGCGGCGGAGCTGGTGCTGATGCTGCCGGGGAGAGACGCATCTCTCGGACGGACACCAACCACCAACGCCTCTGGGCCGTAGTGCCTAGAGCGCATGCGGCAGAGGAGCATTCTGGGTAATGGCGTTTGTGTGGCGAAGCGATGCTGCTTTCAGGTACTGTCGGAGAGATCGCCTGACAGTCATTACTTAATTAATATCACAATTAAAGCTTCAGTGTGTAGAATTTAGTGATATCTAGTGGTGAAGTTGAATGTTGCATTGGAATACCCCTCACCTCACCCGCCCCTTCCAAACATGATATATAAAAACTAAAAAGGTGTTTCAGTTTGTCCAGTTTGGACGACTGTAAAAAAAACATGGTGGCCTCCGTAGAGAGGACCCACTCCTGATGTAAATATAAAGTGTTGAAATATGAAAGGCCCTTTCTACAACAATTTGCACAATTTAAATGATTTCAAACAAGTGGAATCATCAATCTGATTATTTTATGTTCAATTTCTTCCAATAGACCCCTTTCCCCTAAATCTTACACACTGGACCTTCAATAAGTTTTTGGTTAAATTGCAGAATAAACTAATGATGGATGCAAATTGGCAGAAAATAAATACCACACAGAAGGGATTTCTTTTTGTCAGGTCAATGAATAAATGAATGAATGAGTAAATACTTAATTCATGAATAACGTTCAAATTCAAAGATTCAAAGATTTTTATTGTCAAATACACATGAGAACACACATTCCCCTGGAATTGAAATTCTTGTGCTGTCCTTTCTTGAATACCAGCCGACCAAAATTTACATGAAAATACAATATTTACATAAAATACAATAAGAATATGAAACATGTTTAAAAGTTAGGCAAAAACAAGGCGAATGAGGTGAATAAGGTGAGGATTGTGCAAAACTGAGCAGTGCAAATTGAACATTAACAGTGAAAAATTTAATAAAATGTATGCAATATACATGTAAACAGTACAAATGGAAATACTATATGTTAAAGTGCAATAGTATGGGGAAAAAAACACAAACACACAAAATTCAATCAAAAATAAGAGAAAAATACTATTTAGTTTATTATTGTAAACAGACTTAAACATTTTCAACAACTCACTTCATTCACTTTAATTTTTCACTAAACTTAACTTCCTTAACTTCTGTGGTTGTTAAAATCACCAACCTTTGTCATTAGCTACATAGAATTTTTATTCATATGCTTCTAGCCTATTACAAAAACAAAACGACAAAGCCGTAATTTTGAAAATAATGAGCCAAAACCATTTGCACATAAAACATTCCAAAACAAGTGAAGGTGCCATATTGATACGTTACATTTCAGTCAAATCTATGTAAACTACAGTCATACAACCAACCAAACAAAGATTTAATTCCATTTCTTTCATCCCAGACAGTACCCACTTTCAAGATCACGAGGTTGAGGATTCATAGGAAATACACCACCTGTAAAGTCAGCTGTTTTTTCATCTTCACTGTTCACTATCATATGACTATCATGAACAAACAATTCACAGTTACTTATTATTATATTGGTACTTTATTTGACTTAATGAACATTTGTGTCAGATATCATTGTAAATTAGTGGAACTGTTTTTTAATACTGTGAAATGTGAAATGTCAGAAACTCAGAGGTCATTGTGTTTTCAAAGCTCTTATCATCTCATCCTGCATGAAACTATAATTCTTTGTCTCTCACCCCCGATGTCTCTTGAGTTGTTAGTTAGTAGGTTGTGACTGAAGATCATTAGGTTATAACAACCATAGTTGTGTCTTGTCACAGGAAGCCAGGTTCTACTTCTACTACTCCAAAACCCAAACCAAAACCCACAGGGGTTTCACAATCCCCCTCATATTGTCACTGTGCTCCATGCTTGTCTTTTTTATTATTTGACAATGTTCAGCAAGTCAACACATAAGTCTGTATCTCATTTGAAACCACTGTGCAGAAGTGTGCAGAAGTGTGCAGGATGTACATTTTTAGCAATGGCATAGCAGTAGGCCCCTCTGATGTCTTTAAATTAAGACAATATGTCATAACAAGAATTGAAGCCCTCACAGAAAAGGCAAGCAAGCAGGGCCACCTCCACTTCAGCCTATTGCTTTTCACTTCCTGTCTCAACCTTATCCCACCTACACACACTTTCAGAGAAACAAGTTCTGAGAGAAGTGAAGACAGTCAGGCGACACAGATAGGATTAGCTTGTGAGAAGAGAAACACATCTCTTGCGATAAGATGGAAAAGTGGCTGAAACAGTCGACTTTGGTGCTGCTCACAGGTGAGACCATATAGACTGTTTCTAAAGAGACTATTGCAATAATGAAAGAACAGACTGGAATTTCACATGTGTAGAGTTACGGAAACATCTTCCTGTTTTTAATTAGTGTTNATCTATCTATCTATCTATCTATCTATCTATCTATCTATCTATCTATCTATCTATCTATCTATCTATCTATCTATCTATCTATCTATCACAGTGGCAGTCATGGTGGTCTCAGGTAAAGTATATGTGAATCTGGATAAAAAACAGAAAGTGGACGTTCCTTTTGGTTCCTCCCTGACTCTGCACTGCTGTTTGGGGCTGACGGATGAGGATCAGAGGTTTCGAGTGCGGTGGTCCTTTATTTCTTCTGAATCTGCAAACAACAAGTCAATAAACATTTCTGAGGGGACATTTTCTCGGAACTCCTCGGATGAATGGCGAAACCTAATTTTATCAGATGTTACCCGCAACAACAGTGGACGGTACTTTTGTGAAATCATGGTGGATATTCCCAAAATTAGCTCTAATAAGAGCAAGGAAACACAAGTAGTTATTGGTAAGTATGTGCAGTATGCAAACATTAAATAAATGGTTTATGGCACAATACACTGTGGTTGTAAGCAGGTGTAAAGACATTTTAAGTGCATAAATGTACTGTGTTTGTCAATGTTGTCACAATAACTTCTCCTAAATCTATTTGATATTTTTGGTCTCCACAGCGGACACATTAGAAAAACAGTTTTACCTGCTTGCAACTGTAATGTAGAGGAAAATAAACCATTTTATATATTTATGTGCTTCTTAGAAATGCTACTTAACGTCTTGCTATATAGCCTGTTATGACAAAACATGATATCATGAATGTATTCATAATAATGTGATTACTCTGACTCACTATTATTTAAGCAATGTTTGTTGAAGTATTATTTTGTTTCCTCTGTGACAGTGAAGAGCTTAATGGAGGCTACAGTGTACCCGTCACTAGTGACTAGTAAGCAAGCTGTGTGTGTGTGTGTACTTGTACTTGTACTTGTACTTGTACTTATCTATATTATCTATGTAAGGACAATTTTGAGCTTATACCTTACGGAGGAACATTTTGGAAAAGTAAAGACATTTTGGCGACCCTTACTTTTCAAATTGGCTGTTTAAGGGGTTAAGACTATTTTGGTTGTTAGAAAGTGTTGATTCTCAGGTTTTAACTTCAGTTGTCCATCCGTCTAATGGAGGATTATTTTTTGCACTTCTTCTTTCAACACACCCTGTGATCAGACGACCCTACACCCATTGACTGGTGGATGTGGATCCTGTTGGGGATATCGACTTTCATCCTGATCATCCTGCTGGTCATATGTGCAATGATGAGAAGGAGATGCCACAGACGCAGAGGTACACCTCTTCCTTTTCAGTTCGAAAGCTCGGACAGTTATTTGGACATATAATGACACAACGGCAAACATCAACTGTGGATTGTAGATGAGTTCTGTGGACAAGAGAAGCTGTAGGACTGTGATGAAAGACATTGTGCGAAAAAAGTACAACATGAGACAAATAATATCACGGAAAACTTTTCAAGACCCAATCAGTTCAAAGCTGCTTTAAGATCTGGTTCACTGCAATTAAATTGAATTTAACAAGAAAAAACTATTGTGTAAGATTTAGGTGAAAGGGATCTATTGGCAGAAATTTAATGTAGAATAATTTTCATGATGCTTTCACTAGTTCATTTTATCTAAATTGTATGAATTGTAGGATTCTTTACCCCAGAAAAGGCCTTTTATTTTTGAATACTTTATATTTACATTGAGGGGACCCTCTCTATGGAGGCTGCCATGTTTATTACATTAGTCCAGACTGGACAAACTAAACACCTTTTGAGTTTTTATAACAATTAAAGGCTACCACAGGTTCTTTTTCATGTTTGGAAGGAGAGGGTGAGGTGAGGGGTGTTCAGCTACAACATGAAACTTCAACACTAGATATCACCAAATTCTATACACTGTACATTTTATATTTAAATTCATGTATTTCTGACTGTTAGAACAGAAGAGAGAGTGAGCACTGCTCATATGATAGCAAGTGTTTACATCTGCACAAGCTCTGGAGGCAAAGTAACCAAGGATGTTCAGGTTAATAGCACAGCTATGGGGATCTTAACATTTCATCTTCAGATGTAGGACAGCTCTGACTGTCTGTCATCTCCTGTGTGGTTTTAGCAAAAATGCACAAAGACCCGAGACAAGACGAGGGGCGCCTTTGCAGACAGACCTCAGTGCAGGAGCTGCATATGTAAGATTTGGTTGGACCAGTACTGAGAATATCAGCTAATCTACCTAATCGAAAAATCTACCCACACTGTAGTGTGATAAAGAAAAATTATATAATATATATCTCATAGATTAAATCTATAATTGACATATAAAATCAATTTAGATGTAGAGTTTTGCTGAATGATTTGCTTTTTAAATGTGAGCTTCTTTTGTCCAAAGCCCTTAAAGTTGCATCTCACTTTTCCAACACTAAGAGTGTTAAATGACACCTACTACCATTGGACATGTTAACGGTTAGTTTCCAGCAACCCATCGGCCATTATGTCTCAAAGACATTTACACCACAGATGACTAAAATGGATCTGTGTATAGATACAAAGATTACATCTGTGGTTTGGCAGAAGAAGAGAAAGTCTGTCAGGCCAGGAAGTTAATAAATAACATATAAGAGTTTGGCTGGCAGAGACTATGGACAACCGTGATATCTGATAATTAAGTGACTGGACAAACTTTTAAGTTTTAATTTATTCAATAATATAAATACATATTTTCTGATGGATTTCAGACATGACAGATGTTGGGCCTGAATATTATATGTCATTGTACTTGAAATTTGCTCCAGTATAAAAAATGAATATTTATTAATACACAAGCAACTAGATGTTGTGACAGTAGATTATTAAATCCAAACTCTTTACATGACAGTGCCTATTTTAAAAAGAAACAATATAAAACTAGTGACCCAGAAAATTATAGGTTATTTGATTTAAGAACATTGTTCTTCACATACCAGGTTTTTTGATGGAAATAAATCGGTTTGTTTCAACTTTAAAAGGTCAAACTTACTCTCCTCATCAGTCTTCTTGCCTGTTTCAGTGAAATTCCACGTAAGGCCGACTGGTGAGATGGCCGTGATACAGTATTCCATCACATGGGACCTAAACAGGAAACCAGTTTTGGGAGGGTATTTGACCTTGTTCAAAGGAACTAAGTCAAGAAGCAGAATCTTAGTCAAACAGAAAACATCACAATGAAACAAAATGACATTTAACATGGTATATGGCATATTTGATTAATACATTTACTTGCAACCCAGCTCCTGGAACTCGTCCTATGTTCATGGTGCTTTTACTGTTTAATCCAGCAGAAGATCAAATCTATGCCAACACTCATCCTGTGCCCAACAAGCAGCCGTCACCTCGGCCTCGTCAGCCTGTGAACAGCCTGAAGAAACATCCGTCCTCTGAAAACTTCTGGACCCCGGGGACCAACAGGACATATGCCAACGGTAAATGGAGGCAAAAACCGTGAGAAGGTCATGGAGCTTTTTCCTTAAACGGAACATTTGCATGTAATGTTGATTCATTTCTTTCTAGTACAACCTATTCAGTAATAAAAAGCTATACGCCACTAGATGGCAGATGGTGCATTCTGTAAATTTAAAACATTATTTTTCTTTTCCTTTATTTTTGAACAACTTTGAATATCTTTAATGTTGCCAGTAATAATAGATTTGTATTGTAAATAAGTGCTATTTTTAGTGTAAATTAAGTAGTGATGGGAATTAAATGTTTTTTATGCGTTAAGTTCTGCTTGTTTTTATATTAAAGTTTAAGATGTTAAACATGTAGTTTTCTTGTTATGTAGTTTGTAATTTTGAACGTGTGATTGATTTCCTCTTATAATAGGCCCGCTATGATTTAATTTAAACACACACACACACACACACACACACACACACACACACACACACACAAACACACACACACACACACACTCCATGACTTCAGAGGACAACTTCCCAAACCCTAAGCCCTTACCCCAACCTTAACACTAACCTTATCTTAACCTAAACCTTAACCTAATCTTAAAACATGTCTGCACTTTAAACTTTAGTAATTAAAGATATGGGGACTTTTTGTCCCCGTAAGGAAGACAAATCCCAATAATGTGTAGAGCGATTTAGGTCCCTACAACATGAGTAACTCACAGACGAATGATGATGATGACAATAATTAAAAATCATTATTTGTGAATTCAGTTTGCGGTCTCGTGTGATTGGTTGCAAAGTGAGTGCGCGCTCGTGAGGAAAGCTCCAATCAAAAGTCACATGATCAGGCGCTGCCTACCGAGGGAGCAGCAGGATCATCTGAGCCTGCAGGAGTTAGATGAGGAGTGAACGTTACAGGTGGAGCAGGAGAACAACGGCAGCCTGGAGGGTGTTTTCTGCTGCACGCAGCCCGGACAGCTCAGCTCAGCCCCGGTGAGTGAGGGAGACATGAGCCGCTCCTCTGACTTTTACGCACGGACTTGTTTGCGCGCAGGTTTGTCCCGGTGGATAATGATTGTTTGTTATCCACGGAGGACGGGGCTTGTCAGCCTGCGTGGCTGAGAGGGGTGCATGCAGACAAACAGCACTGTGTAACTTCTCTGTCTTATCTCAAGATTAAAGGATCCTAATCTAATAATAGCAGGTGAAAGGCAGACTAAGCAGTAGTAGGATACAAACACACTTCACCCACCACCGCCGCAGATGGTGTCGCTGATCCAGGGCGGCGTCAGGCTGCTGGGGACGCTGCACGGTGCAGCTTCGGGACACACACACGGGAGTGAGTGTGAGGTGAAAATAATCCTGCGGGAACATTTGTCTGGACCACAAGCTGAACTACTTTCACTAAATGTACGATCATGGAGAACCAACCGTTTGGATTTCCAGACCTTTAAAGGCAAACAGATAAACACATAAATGAATACAGTAAAGACACAAACTGTGGCACACCTTTTAATTGGTAAACCTTTCTGATAATGCTTATATTCTTGCGTAATCTAAAAATCAGTGGTTCATCAATCATTAACTAACAGTCCGCATTATGACTGAATGTAACTAGATACTCTAAAGTTGGGGGGCTGGGTGATTAAACAATATCAAAATGAATATGCAATGTGTACACAAAGTGAGAAGGTATATTATTGATCTACCTTAAATTTGCATTGGTGAGTCAAGTGTTTAAAACCTCAACCTTTTGTTAAGAGCAAAAATATTTTTAAATCTAAAAGAAATAAAAATGTAACATTTATCGTGATGATTTCTGATAAGACTGATACGATTTTTAAAGCTCTTAACATCATTACTGGCCATATCACCCAGCCCTTGAGAGTGAAAGTTTGAGCGTCTAAGAGAATCAGAGCTCATGATACATGCGTGTGAATGAGGAAGCAGATCTACAGAACAAAGTGTCACCACACTTGCAGAGGGTTTGCACAGGGGGATCGCCCAGATTCAGCTATACACCACAAATAACCCACCAGCCCCATGGTCTCACCTGACATTTGCTTTTTATGCTTCACTTAAAAATGTTCACACACTTTGTGTGTGTCCACTTTGGACACACTTTTGGTAATTTCTTTGAAATTGCAGAGGTTTAAATCATAAATTTCATTCAGGTGCTCGTGATCGGAGGGGTAGTTACTAGAATTTTAACATTAGAGAAACACCACAGGAGAGACATGTTTATGGTTTTGTTTTTCACATGATCGGCTCCCATGCTACTTTGAGGACCTAATAGGCAACTGATCCCATGAAGCAGGAGGTTTGATCTGTAGGTGCGAGAAAACAATCAAGTCGTTTCGTTATCCACAAACACTGAAATGGGTCACAGCAGACATTTGCACTATTAATCAACCATTCTTTCACCACTACACCTGAAATAAGTGGCAGAGATTAATTGATCTACAATAAAATAATTGATGACTTTTAAATAAACGATTAATGTTTCAGGAAAAAACTGAAAAATGAAAAAACGGTTCCAGCTTCTCCAATTTTATTTTATCCCAGATTGCAAACTAAATATAGATAGAGTCTGTCTCAGTGTGATGGAAACAGTTGTTTTGATTTCAGCTTTAAGTCGTCAACACAGTTTTGTTTTTTAGGTGTTTCTTTGTGTCAGTGAACTTGTCACACATCACTGGTGGAGCAGGTAGACGTGTTGGGCTGTTCATATTTTCCTTTTGTGGCCAAACTCCTGCTGGGACTTGCCTGTGTGTGCGTGCTTATTCAAGCTTGCGTTTACACTCAACCAGACTTGTCTCATCAATGAGAAGTAATTTGTCAGAGCAGGATCAACCACCTTATTGAACAGGTTGTTGAGGTTGTTGCATCTTTATTCTGTTGCCTGCTTGTCACCTTCAGTTGTGTTACATGCTTTGAGTGGTCATTTTCCATTTGCTTAATGATGCACACTGTGACAGGCTTGAAAACTGCACACACGTCATGTTTTTGAAGTAAAGTTTTCCGCTAATTACAACTCGCCTGAGCATCAAAAAAAAAAAAGGCGGTAAGCTACTGTCCTTATGCTAAAAAGAGCAGTTTGTTTTTGACCATCTGAGCTTTTAAAAATATAACCCGGTGCTGAACTGGGGTGTGTTTTCCAATGTAAGTTTCACAACAAGAGTTTGGTGACACGAGAAGTGTCAAAGGTGAAGCACCCTCCCACAACTGGTTTCCTGTTTAGGCCCCATGTGATGGAATACTGTATCACGGCCAGCTCACCAGTTATGATGGAATTTCACTGAAACGGGTAAGAAGACTGGCAGCAAGCAGTCAACCAACCAACCTGTGACTCACCCTGCAGACAAGTTAGTCAGCCGTTCGACTGAATCAGTTGGAGCCCGGAGGAGGAGGCCTTCTCGTACAGTACAACGTAACGCCTGTCACACGAATGGGCGTATGCTCGACTCACAGAGTCACAGTTCACTCCAGCTGTTTGTTCACACAGCTTTTTAGGATCTGGATTTGTTATGACTCATGGTGATGACAGCAGGGTGCCTGTCTGTGCACGCTTGGGGTTTTACTTTGTACGCAGCATGTAATTGTAGTGAGACTCCATCGTAGGGGTGTTGTAGATACAGTGGAAGCTCCTGAACAGGCTATAAATATACCCCGTGCTTCAAGTGGTTGGAGTCTCTGGAGACGCTGCTGTAGGCCTTCTCCATCGTATTGTACCAGTTCGTGTGCAGCCTTTGAACCTTCTCATTCTGCTGCTTGTTTTCACATGCAACCAGTGCTTCACATGTCAGTGTGAGTGTTTTTTTTTTAGTGTTGTTCACCTCATGCAAAACCTGTTCTCTTCTACCCAAACAATATCAGTCATAAGTATTTAATTATCTTAATGAGGAGCGTGTTCAGATGTTGTATAATCTCACAGTGGGGTGGACATTGAGTTGCAATGTCAAGGGATACAAGTCCTATGTTCTATCTAGAATATAGAGCTGTGTTAAACGGCTGTGTGCTTAATAACTGATCTTTGAGCAGGTTTTGCTGGATTTACTGGAATCAGCATAGATCCAAAGGTGTGAGAAAGAACAGAGTGTTGACACCTGAGCAGCAAGTAGAGCTGGACAATATGGTTTAAGTTTTTTTTTTTTTTTAAATGTATCAACCGATATTGATTATTGCCAAATATTAAATGTTCCATTAGTATTTATTTTAAGTTGTGGTTGTGGTTTATGAGCAGAAAATGACAAACACTTGATAAACAGCAAAACATTTCACAAATATAGATAGATAGATAGATAGATAGATAGATAGATAGATAGATAGATAGATAGATAGATAGATAGATAGATTCTTTATTTGTGCCCTTTGGGAAATTGGTTTGCAGCAGTAATCACTAAGTATTTTTTACACCATAGCAACAACATCAACAGACATAACCAACACATACAATACACTTAGATTTACATTACATGACACAGCTCTGCATTTACAGAAGTGGACATTTGATCCAAACCAGGTGAACATCATCATTTTTGTGTTTGTTTAAGAAGTTAACAGCTTGTTGAAAACAGAATATTTTCAATCTGTTTCTTAAAGAAAATATAGTTTGGCAATAGTGTCAATCTGATGAGAGCAATTTAAATGAGGAGGCAAGAGGATGCTTCTCATCACCCACAATGATCCTTGCACTATTTTTAAAACTCTTTATCTCTATTGATAAAAAATTATTGATATTATTGCACAGCCCTACTGAGAAGTAGAGTGAAATTGTGTCACTTTACAGAGAAGACTTAACTAATAGATAAAAATCAATAAACAAGAAGCTGTTGTTAATGTAGCCCCATAGTTATTGACCTATAGTATTAATAAAGCTGTGTCATTAACAAAGGGTCATAAGCAGCTTTGTTATACAGCATCAAGTCTGCAGGTATTAAGACTATAAGCCATTGACTAAATGGATTTTGACAGTGATGCGCTGCCTCTTTTCACATGGGACCAAATTACTCTAAATGTCATTGTGGTTCATAATCTGGTTCTGTTGTTCATATACATATATTCTTAATTTACCCAGGTAAAAGTCTCATTGACACCAAAACCTTTTGTGGCCCAGGATTATCACACCAGGGCATTAACTGGAAATTGCAAAAGCCACAACACAACTGCAGATGTCACACTTTGCTTTTTTCATTGTCACCACCTGCTGTCAGTCTGCCATTGTGGGTCGGTTTCCGTTGTGTGGCTTTTGTTGTTGTGGCTTTTACATTGGTGTTCTCTTTTAAAACGCTTGAAATGCCAGTTTAGTGACCATGAGGGCTATCTTCTAATCTATTAAAACTGACCCCCCCCCCCCCTTTTCCACACATGCTGCACTAACCACTGTTTTTATTTAAATTGTGGTGATTTTCAAAAGTGAGTATGGAACTTGTTGCTATTAGCAACAAACCCACAGTGAATCAGAGTTCAGAGAAGAGCTTTAGCTTCTCATAGCTCATTGTTTATCTTCAGCTCTGATAAACCTACTGTAAACTACCTGTTCAACACCAAACAACAGAGAGACTTGAAGACTGGAGCTGGTGACCATCTATCAACACCTCTCGGCTAAAGAGCAGTTTTCCCTGAGGAGCTGGTGAGGACCTAAGCACAGTGAAATAGAGAGTAAATATTGGGCTTATTTTTGTTTGGTGGCCAGACACTGGGCTCCACATAAATGTTGCTCAGTGTCTGCTGCGTGTGTAAACAGGAGGCGGAAATATTCATCTTACAGTGTAAGATAATACTATGCCAGTGTTGTTTTCATTTTATTCTGTTGCCCCCAAGTGGCCAGAAACAACAGTTAATGCAGCTTTAAACTAGAATATCACTTACCAAGGCCCAACCGTCGTCTTAAATTAAATAAAGCTGCACACTCATAAATATCATTCCCCTAAATGTGCCAGATTTTATTTTCATCTAGATCCATGAATTATTCCCAGAAAAATTGCTGAAAATTAAAAAAAAAAACAATCCCTGATCTGCCCCCTGATCTGCACCAGAATTTAATGTGCTCTTTCCTGATCCTTCCACCAAGTTACATGGTCATCCATCTACCTCCATGGCAGAGGTGATAAATTGTTTACTAACCACTGTTAAAGAAGTTGTGCCAAAAACATTTAAAATCACTTGAAAGATTCTTTTTTATACTAAATGTTTTATGATCTTAGTCCGAATGTAAATATGAAAACATAAGAGAAAGAAAAAGAAAAGTGTGAATGAACTAACAGACAAAGCACAATGGTCTGAGCTGTGTACAGCAGACTTGTAAAAACCTTAAGTGCTCACCCATCCACCCCCCACCCCCAAAATACACACAGACACACAGACACACATGCACATGTCAGTGTGTGACATGTGCCCTGACCCTGGATAAACAAAGGTAGAGAGAGCAGGGACAACTGCTGCATGCTTCTCTTATTATTGTAGCCATACCTGCCTGTCTGCATCGTGTAGAAGTATCTGTCACACACTGTGAAAGCACCTGCTCAGTCATTCCGTCCAGTTGTGGCACTCAAACCACAGCCTGAGGTGAGGTGGGGGGGGTGCTCTTATAACAGATGAGGCCTGTACATGCAGCGGCTCGTCCTGCTTTGTCAAGTAACAACAAGGTAGGAGCGCGGCAGCCTGTTGCAAAATCCACCGTTCAAACCCGAGGTTGCTCAGAGTGAACAACAAGCAGCCTCTCGAGGAAATTTGGATGCTGTCATTTTTGGTTTTTGTCAGCAGGCGCGGACGTTTCAAAGGCTTCATCTCCATGAGATCTGCTGTGGTTTTTTTCCTCTTGGAGATAAAATCTAAATAACACTCACAAAGCAACTGTGGGATGCTGCTGCTTTGAAGCAAAAAGATAAGAGTATAGTTTTTACCTTGTGAGACTGCTCTTAAGTATGCTTTGTGTGTTATTGTGAGGGGAGGAAAAAAAAGTGCCTTGATGAATTTTGAATGAGGCTGCGCCACTCAGTCAAAACAGTTAGAAACTCGCCAAAGAAGCTGTGAAGTCTCAATTCAGCATGAATCCCTGGGTAGGGATGGGGCGCTAAAGCAGTGAATTACTGTGATCTGTATGCATGCCCAAACCTGAGCTGATCCCCCTCTGCTGCCTGAACCCCGCTGAGCCCAGAGGAAGCAGGTTCTTATCGGGGAGGAGGGCAGGAAGAGACAGAGTGGAGGAGGAAGAGAAGGGGGGCAGCGTGGCACTCGGCAGATTGTCACTAACATGAATTGATGCGGTGAACTTGATTGTTTACTGCACAACTTTTCACACTGTTAAGTGATGCTGATTTCTCTGGTGTAACAGTAAAATCTTATCTGTGCCTGTTTTTCACAAACCCCTTTTGAAAACCAGTAAGCAAGTAAACAAAGCATAAAGTCACCATCCCTCTGCTCACAGTTTTTAAACTCTGTTTTTGTATCTTATAATTTACATTAATTTACATTTTGGGTTGTTCATTTAGGTCGAAAACTGTTTTCCTAACCAACTGTCCGCTCATGAAACCACATTTTTATTCACTAGATCCATATTTTTTACTTGGATCTGCACCAGATTGCACATACACATGGATATCAGTCCCATGGACATGTTTGGGTTTTTTCATCAACATCCATGAATTATTCTCTGAGAAATAAATGAAAAAAGAAACATTTAAAAAAACCGTCTTATCTTGCAACGTTAAAGAGAGTGAAAAAAATCCAGGATGGATGGTTTCTTTCTTAGTTCATGTCAAGTAGTTTTTGCATAATCCTGATAATTTATAGACAAAAGAAGATGAAAACATAAACTTGATGGGGGTCATAAAAACCTGGGGTCTAATTGAGGATGCTCCTGAGTTGCATTATGGGACATGTAGGATTCATTGTTTTTGGAGTTCGTTGCATACAAAGGCCTAAAATTCAAGATATCTCAGCTTGACCTCTCTGTTTGTGATTGTTGAGTTCAATGCTATGTTTTCTGGTTCTTCCCTTTAAAGAGTCAGATACTTTTTTATGGTTGTTCTCTAGAGAAAGATGAGAATGATCATCTTAGTCTATCTTTTTCTCATTCTTGTTGACTGTCACACTGTGAAGTTATGCAAATACTAGATAATTAGAGCAACAAAGATGCAGCAGCATTGTTATAGACACAGGACTATCAGAACCTTTCTCTGTAGCTCTACGTTATGATCACCCAGATTCATCAAACAGAAAAAGTGGAAAAAAACAAGATGGCAGAGGCAGAACAATGTGTCTCATTGAACATTTAATTCATAAATGTTTTCATGTCTTTTCTAGAGTGGGACCATGACCATGATCTCCTCCAGCATCCTTCACCAGTAGCTGGACAGAATGGCTTTTGCTCCTCCTTCCAGAGAAGACACCAGCAGCTCATTAGCTCTGCGCTGGAGGCTAACACCGACATAGATACACACCACGCAGGACACTGACTCACACTCATAGCAGGCAGAGCTGCACTCTACAGGCCTGGTTGAAGATCTGCGTGAACTGCTGTGAACACACTACTCGTGCCTGAGCTGCACATGTCCGGGGCAGCGGCGTCCCCTCAGCGTTACAACGTCTGGACTGAGACCGTGGACCATGTTCTCTCTCTGATTAATGCTGCGGTGGCAGAGCTGGATCGTGCAGCTCTTCCACACTGAGACAAACCTGGACTCTGAGCCATGTCTCTTCTCTCAGCGCTGAGCATCGTCTGTGGATTGATGCTCCATGTTGCACTCAGTGCACTCAACACTCACTACTGTGCTCCACGAAAGACTGTCCCATATGAGAGTAAGTCACTAAGTCTCACCGCCTCTACACTATATAATGACATTACTCTCACTGTGGTGAATAAGTGCCTCGTCTCCTGCTATGGACCAGTAAACACCAGAATTGTTAGCAGAATATTTCAACCATGATACATGAACAAGTATCTCCAGATGCTTGGAATATATTCTGGTTGGGACACGCTTTTTAAATTCAAATGAATTTCTGTTCTGGTATTGCTGTTGAAGCGCTTTTCCAAAAATGCAGCAGCTAAAAATATGAGAGTAAAATATAAGTGTTGATTCAAATGTTCTCCTCTTCAGATGAGCTGAAGATTTTCAGAGAGGAGGGGATCTCCAACTACTCCACTATGTTGATGAGAGACGACCTGGGCGTACTGCTGCTGGGGGCCAGAGAGGCCATATATGCTCTGGACATCGACGACATCTCAGTGAGAAAGTCTGCGGTAAGTAAATGCAGAGCTCCTATATATTGATAAACTCATGATATTTGGTTCTTGTTACAGATTACAACTAGAATGGCACCCAGTACAGTTCATACCTACACCAAGGCCCCCCCATGAATCCACATTTAAATACAGCAACCCCCGTTATCCCTGGAGTTGGTTGAAGCATACAGGAATATTTATTTGAACTAAAAAAAACACAAACATGTTTCTTATGGTTCTGCTGTTGCTACTCTGTCATAGAGATCAAGAGGGTCAAGATAAGTAAATTAAGATTAAATCAAGAAAATTAAAAGGCTGATTTAATTATATAAATAAATTGATTGACTTTTTTATGACTTAATATTATGTAATAGTTCTGAATATATGCTATTCCCACTTGCTTTTAGATTTCATTTAAGTTCTTGTGATCCCCCTCTCAGTGTCATGAGACCACTAGTTAGGGAACTGCTGCTGTATCATACAAGTCACATTTACCCATTCACACATTTATACAATAAAATCTTTTTTTTAACTTTTATGAGATTTTGATGTGACTTAACAATTTGTAGAGGCTCAGTAAATTGAGGAAAAAGCCACATTTCTAAAAAAGTTTGAACAAATGCATAGTTCTGTGTAGCATAACTAAATATTGTTGCATGGTCATTCTTTCAATCATTCTATGACCCCTGGGATTTTTCTACTGGGTTGAGTATCATGTAAAACGCAACCTCTGTCTATGACTAACAATTTGGAGAGATGTTTGCAGCTCTTATCATGATGCTGAAATCAGTTCATCTGTGTTCCCTGTGAATCTGTCACTGTCAACTTCCAGTGTTTTTCGATAAGGTGGCCGTCTGCCAGTTAACTGCAGTGTATTCTGGTCAAAGATAAGATTACAAACCGTACATTGGATGCTCTCGTTCCCCACTGTTGTCTGTTTGACCTGTGGGTATTTGCATGAGAGAGTATATTATGAATACTGGTCTTGTTGAACCTGCTACAGTGGTCTGTTGATTGAGCGGAAGAGGAATTTGTCCCTGCTTGCAGCACTGACTGGTCTTGATCATGAGATCAACTGATGTGCGAGTGTAAACAGAATTCAGCTCGGCTGTCATGCTGTTGTGGGGGTTGCGACATCGTCCCTGCGTGCTTTGACAAAACACTCTCTCTGTGTTGATGCAGGTGTACTGGCGAGTGACCGAGGAGAAGCAGAGGGAGTGCACTTACAAGGGAAAACACGCTGAGGTTTGTCTACCACCTTTCAAAACACAGCCCCCATACGCTAACTCTCATACGTCTGGGGCAAGAACACAGGCTTTAAGGATGACTCCTGACTGAGAACGATTTACTCCCCACGCAGTTTATCTCTGTGCATTTGTAAATCATTTATAGGGGAATGGGTTTTCAAGTCTTTGAAGTGCTGTAGTACCAGCTTCGTACTGACAGACCAAATAAAGGCATGAGAAGAACAAGCCTTGACCTCTTGGTCCCCAGTTCGACTCCTGGCATCCCGGGCAGTCACTATATGTTTGTGGCATGTTTGTATTTTTTGCGGCTGAACTAACAAAGCTCTGACCTTGGTTTTCTCTGGGCTGGATCTTGTTGCAGGTGGAATGCCGCAACTACATTCGAACCCTGCACCGAGTGAATGACACCGCGATGTATGTGTGTGGCACCAATGCTTTTAGCCCCACCTGTGATTATATGGTAAGTGTAGAATATATGATTAGATTAGAGGATTTAAAAAATCTGACCCTGTTTATTAGCAGATGAATTTAGTGTCACTGATGAGAGGATGAAAGACTTATTAGGTTCAGTAGTTTTGCCAGTTTTAGGTCTGTGCAGTTAGTTTTATATGTTAGTCAATCACTTCTATTCTTTTTATTGTCAACAAATGCCATGAAAAAAAACATACAAAGTGTTACTCCTACTCATTATTTCTGACTTCTCTATCCTGTCTGTGGTCCATGTGTTCCTACTGAAGCTTTTAATCTTAACAAATGTCCCAAAAATATTGTTCTATAAAAAGGTTAAACTATTTCACAACACAACTGGGCAATGTAGTTTTTACTACTACCACTGAACTACTCAAACAGGAGCAAACAGGACATTTATTTGGAACTATTTTAAGTTGTGGATGAAAGTAATTCTGACTAGTATTTCGGCGAGGACAACTGCGTGTGTGGGATGATGTTAGGACCTAAATCTGCTTACACAGTATCATTATGGGGACTTGTCTTCCTCACAGGCACAAAAACTTCTGTAAATCGTAACGTAAACCTAAAACTTACATTTGAAGGTGAAGACGTGCTTTAAGGTTAGGTTTGAGTTTTATGTTTAGGTTTAAGTTTAGGTTAGGCAAGTAATAACTATGGCTAAGCTTCAAGTAAATCTGCAGTAAATTAATGTAAAGTCTTTTGAACTCTTGGAAACACAACTCTGTGTGTGAGTGTGGAGGGGACTTGGATACATGTAATGGTGTGGCTAAAAAAGTGTTTTATTGCTTTTTGTACAGTAGATGAATAGAGGGATTTGTGAAGTCTAGAAGGCTACACAGACTTGAACAGGCTTGTAGCATTGTTTCTTTGTTGGTTTCCTCATGTGATGTGTTGACGATAAGAAACATCCCCTGATTTATCTTAAGTCATGCAGATAACTGTGGTTACAAGTTGCTGTCTCTATACAATGCTTCTGTTGTTAATTTAATGGTCGGTGTGTGTTTGTTAATTATTAAAGAATTATTAGACTAACTCACATCCTTTCTCTTGTGAAAGTTTCTGAGCATTCTCTTTCCTTTATTCTACAGTGTGTTTGGTTGTGATGCATGCAGTCAGTGTTTGCTTATTTATTGTCTTGTTGGGTTTTCATTGTTCATCAACACGCAGCGGCTCATGACTGCGGTTTATTTTGGCAGCGAGCTCAAACCTCAGAGGACTGAACACACTTGAAAGCATCACCATGGAGAATTGAACGGTTCCTATGTTCAACTGCAGAAAGACAACAATTTGATGAAGAAATAAAAGCAGACCTGAGGTTCATTATTTCCTGAAGCAGATCTCTAGCATCTGCATGGTTTCATTCTAAAATAACAGGTTGGAGAAAGGTTGGCTTTAGTTGAATTTGTAAATGGTGGGCATTAGTGTAGATAGTTAATGTACTGAATCTTGATAAGATCTGAGTGTGAAAAATGGCTCAGTCTTTCTTTTCTTTGCTCTCTCTCCCTCTTGTTTTTCGACAGACTTTTGTCAGCGGACAGCTGAGGCTGCAGGGAAAGCAGGAGGAGGGGAAGGGGAAGTGTCCTTTTGATCCCTTCCAGAGATACTCCTCCCTCATGGTTGGTGAGTGTCTGAGTCACGTTTGCTGCCAAAGGGAACAAAGCACAGAATAAAGCTGAACCCAAAGTGCACCAACTGAAAAAAAAAAGAAAAGATAACTGTGGGCCGACATGAAAGACCACAGGACCAGGCTATAAATGTAACATCTAATATCTCTGCTGCTGCTGCTGCTGCCTCCTCACTCAACACATGCACTAAAAGAGGCGGTTCACTTCATTAGTTGCCATATAAACGAGATATTGTTCTAACTTCATGTGAATAATTGATTTCCAGGAACTTTTTCCTTAACTCTTGTTCCTGTCTAACAGGAAATGACCTGTATTCTGCTACATCCATCAACTTCTTGGGCTCCGAGCCTGTGGTTCTGCGCAGTTCAAACTTGGCTCTCCGCACTGAGTTTAAGAGCTCCTGGCTCAGTGGTGAGTTCCTCTGCAGCAAAAAAAAGCTCTGTCCTTTTAATGTTTTATATAATGAAGTGCATAGTTTAGAGGGTAATGACTGCAGCTCGAGAAAGTATGTTTCCCTTTGCATTATTTCCATTATTTGCATTCCTGACTTCATGTTTTGTGATTTCAGAGCCAAACTTTGTCTACATGGACTTTGTTGGGGAGAGTTTTGACAGTTCAGATGGCGACGATGATAAGGTGTACCTGTTCTTCAGCGAGAACGCCATGGAGTATGACTTCTACAGCAAAGTCACAGTGTCACGAGTGGCCCGTGTCTGCAAGGTAGCAAATATCACACACACATAAATATAAGTTTCCTAAACATGTCAGATTTTTTTTTAATCAAGATCCATGAATTATTCTCTGGGGAACTGGCGTAAATGCTGAAAACGCCTCTTTCTTTCTTTAACGCCTCTCGAAGTGTCAAAATTGAATTTGTTCTTTCTTGGCCCATGTCCCATCTTTCCACCAAGGTTCATGGAAATCCATTCAGTGTTTTATGCTTAATCCTGCTGACAAACAAACAAACAGACAGAGGCAAAGACATAACCTCCTCGTGGAGGTTATAAAAAGTAATTATTTGTTCGAGACAAATAATCATCATCTTTAGAGATGTCTGTCGCAGGTCTGCTTGTTATTGTTGAAGGGAATATGTGCACATGACTGAGTGCTCTGTCTCTGTGTTTAGGGGGATATGGGCGGCCAGCGGACGCTGCAGAGGAAATGGACGTCGTTTCTGAAAGCTCGTCTGGATTGTTCCCTCCCTGAACCCAGCCTGCCCCCAATTGTCCAGGATGTCTTCCTGCTGAAGCACGAGGATTGGAGGAAGAGTGTCTTCTATGCTGTCTTCACGCCGCAGTCGTGAGTAAATACAGTCAAATCCTGTGGTTTCATGTTCCCCACATTAGAAGAAAGTCACTTTGGAGAAACAACAAGGTGTCTTTACACACAATCATTGGGTGTTGAGTTTG